GGGCTTTTCGCCCGTCAAATGGGTAGTTTCATTATTGAGCGCTTTTACCACCTTATGTAATTTTAATACCCATTCTTTGTTTCGAGTTCCAGGCTCAGCCAGCTCGCGGTTATACTGATAAACGAACAATCGCTCCGCCAATGTTCGATTAAATCTTTCTACGATCCCCTGATTCGTATGAACTCCGACTCTACCCCGTCAAATCGCTTTGCACAGCCTCGGGAACTCCGAGCCAGGGTCGACTTGTAAAACTTTAGGCCATCGAAGAGGCCCACGGGCATAAATAGACTCTAACGCCTTCCCAACCTGGGTTGCTGTCTTGTCTGTGATCGCGTGGGCCTCCTTATACCGACTTGCTACGTCGACGACCGTCAATGCGTATTTGAATGTGCGTCTTCCGACCGTCAATGATATCAGCACCCCGAATAAGGCCTAGTGGACCTCATTCGGGGTGCTGATATCAAACTTAAGTCGGGGAATAGCACTTCGCGTTGGTTCGGGCAAATAGATCTTCCAGATGGCCTGTTTTTTTAGCCATTCATGAGCCACATCCTCGCAGACGCCAGTCTCTTTTGCCAGCTTTGGAATAGCAGCAAGGCCCATCCAGTACCCTGCAGGACTGTAGTAAACCTCTGCGAGGCGTTCCTCAACGCTTCCGTCCGTAGAAACGCGACCATGCTTTGTCAGGACGACAGATTTGACATTACGTGTCGTAGGCGACTTCTCTTCAGCTTCGAAATCGTCAGGAACACCGCCTGTGGTGAGAGGCACAAAGTCGAGTACTTAATGGTCATTAGTTAGAGTGTCTCCGCCGAACATTCCAATTGATCTTTTTAAAAGCCCCTTTACAGAACCCTCTTCTATAAACAGCCGCCCCGCCAGGACAGCATGGCCCCCGCAGACAGCCCTTGCTCGACTCTGCACTGCAAACGTATTCGTAATCATGACCCGCTTGTTAAAGGCTTCCAGAAAATACTTGCGCCGCTGGAGCTCTGTATATGCTTCCTCAATTTCAGCGAGCACACATCCAAAGCTATTGAAGACAAGCACATGTGTTCCAGTACAACAAACAGTTAGCCGGTGGTGCCCCCCTTCGACCGGATCATGGAGGGGGTAGATGTTGTCCGTGTTGCTGATGCAAAACTGCCCATTGTGGAGATGTGGTAAGCTGTCGCAGCTACAGACCCCAACAAACCGTTTTTGGTCTCGCTCGGCCTTCAGGAGGCGTTCGATGTCAACGCTCGAGATCGGGTAATCCATTCCTTATACTGAGCACAGCGGGAGGCTGTTTAGAGTCGCCACAAGGATGGCCCTTTACGCGGAGAATGCCTCGATGTCCTTCGCCCTCGGTGCGCTCAGCTCGCTGGGGACAATGTCGTTGACAGTATCTTTGGCGCGGTTATTCTAAACGGCAACATGTCTCACCCCTCCGAGAACTACCTGGTGGAATATGTGCCATCCCGCGAGCATCGACGGGCGGTGCAAAAAGATTGAGGCTGGAAAGACTCACAAGAACGACGGAAACCGTTCGAAGAACACGCGCAACGCCAAGGTCGACAACAAGACGGAAGACGGGGGCGTCGAAGCGCGCAGCGCCTAGAAGAACAGCAGGGACACGACGGAAGACCACGGGGCGAGAGAAGAATAGCGGTTTGTATGAATTCAAGAGCATGCTCCTGGATGCGGCAAAGAGCACGAGCAAGAGAGCAGCGAATCGCGCAAAATTGAGGGCCATTTCTAAGTTGAAATCGTCAGCCACAAGTTTGACACCCAATGTCCTTGCTTCGGCGCCCGCTGCGGCTTCACGTTTCCATCAGCCCATCAACAACAGCATCTCCCAGGCCTTGCGGGCAGCGTCCTCGACCCCGACGAGCGCCCACATTGGCCAGTCGTTAAACATTTAGAGCGGTGCATATCTTTCTAAAAAAGATTTTCGGCTGTTTTTCCCCGCCCCCGGGTCAGTCGTCCCGACGCCATCACAGGTGCCCGCGCCTTCTGTTGTTCCAAGTGTTATCGCGCGCGATACTAGCACTGGTGGCGACAAATACCCCGCTATCCCCGGGCTTCATTTTTAAAAAAAAGAATGGTTTGACGACCTTCTGCCTTTACTCAAAAAATAGGGGGCAAAATGTTTTGCTCTTGGGTCAGAGCAATATGGGCAAGAGCTTCTTCATGAAACGGCTCCTTGCTCACGTTCGTCCAAAAGGCTGTACGTCATTTCGAACACCTCCGCTGATCAATATATCCAACCTAACACGGTCTTGATGCATTATTTCGTCATGCCTGAATCGATCGAGGATACGAGAATAGAACCGAGTCCTACGTCATCATCGACAACATCCGCGTCATGAATCTCAAATGCGGAACACAGAGGGAGTGCGTGTGGCTCTATAAGTTCTTTACGATGTATAGCCATCATCTGAAATTGAACGTCTTCTTCCTCTCCCAGAGCTTCGACAACATAAAGGACATGAAGGTTAACACAACTTTCTCTATCTCTTCCGATCCACGGATAAGTCGAACGTGAAGCAGTTTCTTAATACGCTCTTCGGCGGCACGGGCAATAAACCGGTTCTCTTCTTCAAACTGTACGAGAAACTCTTGACCCGCTACGAGCGCCCGATCCTCGCTATGGACTGCACCAATCAGCAATTCGCCTATTATTACGACGAAAATTCTATTGCGGTGGACTTTGAGTGAAAGCTTTGCCTTCTCCGTCATTACCAGAAAGTTTTTAAAGCTTGCTAGCAGCTTTGCAGCTTTTTTTATTGAGAAAAAATCTGACCAAGAATTACAGAAAGAAGTTCGGAAGGGATATCACCAGATTCTTGAAGAAAATTGAACATATTCGAGTCCGGAGAGTCGATGGTCTCCCACTGCGACTTGAGCGAAGGGCGGATGGTTATCTGTCGGCCTTCCTCATCCCAAAAGCGAGGGGGATGGAGGTCCTCCAGTTTATCATAAACCAACCCGAGCACATAAGTCCTTTATGGAGGTCTTGGTTTATCTCCCGAAAGGGGCCCATCTCCTTCCTGTGTAAAGCAATGCAGTATATACTAACCCATCCCTTTGCAGGATCTAATCCATCCAAGTTGAGCTTGCTGATTTTAAAAAAAGCACCCAAGCGTAAAAGAGCTCTATGCCTTGTTCAAGGGCAACACTGAGCTTCTCAATGAAGAGTCGGTCCTGAGCGCGGTCAAATCCATGTTGCTCAACTATTCTGCAGATACAGGCCAGTTCGCGACAGCATCGCTGCTGTCCGTTTGAAAAACTAACTCCTGGCGGTCATTACAACCGCGCCTTCTCTCCAGACTCGTAAAGAGGGGGAGTTCGATCGCTTTCTGCTGCTCGTCTTTGGCCGCTTTTTGGCGTGCCAGATGATTCCCGAGGCCTTTCTCGAAAGCAACTATTTCACTTCGCGTGCGCAGCTGGTAGAATTGTTAACGGAAAACCCTCAAGGATTTGAAGCCAATCTTAGGCAGCCTCAAGCGGATCAGGATATGCGTGTTGCCATCGTGGCTGACTATCGCGTGCTTGCGAATAAAGTAAGCCAACAGTTTCTCAGCAGTTATCCCTTTGAGGTGGTCGCTATCACCATAGTCGACTTCGGCCATCCACAGTTTCACCTAATGAGGAGGAATTTGCAGGAGATCAGACAGCATGCTTTTACGGTACCAGGATCAAGACAGAAGTTCGGTGATTTGGCGGCCTTGCTTGAAACCTACTCTAAAACACCCGAGATCAAACTTTTAAATTATGGTCGTCATTTTACGCCTGGAAGCGTCAGAGTCAAGATGACTAGCGAGGCTGGCTTTATCAATGCGCTCCTCATTAACGGGAGCCGCATCACTAGCAAGTGTGTTGCTACATTGAACGCTCGAGGCCTTGTTCGCAAGATCCACTGAGCTTGATCCCTATATGGGAATACGCTTTGGACCGCCCCACCCGTACGCAGCTGGAGGTTGTTCTCACCTAAGCTCAGGCAGCCAAGCGACTTTAGTATCATCGTTCCGATAGAGCTGCGACGATGGTGGGACGCCCTTCTGCGCGTATTACTCTGCAGGTGGAGAGGGGGGCCGGCGTATGGTCTACGCTTGACCCAGTTCTCAGCTCGAGTCGAGTGCTTCGCATGGGGATCACGGCTGCTGTAAACGATGTTGCGACCGTCCGGCTGAAAGTGAATGATGTCGAAAAGACAACTTTCGAAGTGCGCAAGCCACGCAGGCTGGTTTCAGCTTTCACAGTTTTCAACCCTGCATTAGAGATTGACGCGGGGGCCATTATTGGGTTTTCTTCAACATCTTCTACCGTAGGTTCGATAGTGACATTGCTATTGGAGCAGTATGACTTTGTGTGAGCCCTCCGCACCCCCTTCGTCACCTCTGGTGTCGACGGCGCCTCTCTATCCTACGCTGCCTACTGCGAGTGATGCTGGAAATACGTACCGATTACAGGAGATTTCAGAGTTCGAAACGATTCAACTGACTCTTTCTCGAGTTTAGTACACACTCCGCGATGTCCTCTTCTTCTAACACGAAGCCTTTCAAGTTTTTCCTTCTCTTCAGTCGACATTTTCGTAAGAAACGAACATGGGCGACTTAATTTCGTTAAAGCTGCCCCACGTGCATGACAATTATGATGAAATTGTACGTCCATTTAATTAGCATACATGTGAGTGGTAATGTCAACTTTCATCAAGCCAAAAACCTTGTTTGCTAGTAATAAGATGTATAATATATGCACGTGGCTGTTTAATTTTAAGAAAAGATTGTAGCAAACATAGCATGCTCATGTTTATAAAATGGAGACGTTTTGTCAAATCATGTAAGATGCTTATTGCGTTGTAAGCGAGTGACCATTTCATTAATGTTTTATTGATATTAACAACATTTCATAAAAACTTGACATTGTTGAAGACAGAAATATATCTTTAACTTATTGTTACATTTTGTCACATATAAAACTTGCTAACATGTTATCACATTTTCTTTTTCAGTTTCAACTTTTATAGATATAGGTTTTACGAACACCTCGATCTACTCTCGCTTACGTAAATATGGCCACTTTATCTCATAAGGGATGTAGTATGCAGTTCCGCATATCCATCGTTTTTTTTGTTGTGGGTTTTACTACGATCATCTATCTTTACAAAAATGAGTTTGTGATAAAATATGCTCCTGCATCTGAAACTACGTTTACTCATCAACCTGAAATAACGCCTACCAATAAATCTGAAACAACGTCTACTCGTCAACCTGAAACAACGTCTACTCATCAAATTGGAACAACTTCTACTAATGAATCTAAAACAGTGTCTACTTATAAGTCCGAAACAACGTCTACCATTGCAATAAATATAACATCGTCTCCATTACGAACAGGTAAAATAGTTCTTTTGTTTTGGAGTAAATTTTTTGGTGCTTCACCCGCATCCTTTGAAGTAAACTTGCCAAAAGGTGACAAAGAAGGCGAATGTCCTGTGGCCTGTGAGGTTACATCAGACCATCAGCGAGCTAAAGAAGCAAATGGATTTATTGTACATTCAAGAGATCCATATCCTCTACCTCCATCAAAAGATGTTCCCTGGATCCTAACGGGTATGGAAAATCCTGTTTATACTCCTATACTTTCTGACGGCAACTTTATGTCACAGTTTCAATTGTCGAGAAGCTATCGACTTGATTCTGATTTTCCTACACCACTCTTCACAAAGCCAAATTTAGATCCACCGGTTCCGTTTGAGAAAAAAACGGGAGGAATTATTGCTACTCTTTCCAACTGCGAAGCTGTCAGGACAGCGTATATAAGACATCTCATGGAACATGTTCATGTCGATTCCTATGGTGGATGTTTACATAATAAAGATGGTATAGTAGGACGCTGGGCACCAAACTTTAGAGAAGCAAAACAAGATGTGGAAAAATTATACAAGTTTGTTATTGTGTTTTTCAACCAAGATTGTGATTACTATGTTGATGAAAAAATTCTTAATGCACTTAACGCAGGTGCAGTACCTGTGGTGATGAGCACGGATAAAATTAATGATTTTTTGCCTGGAAATCTGAAAAATGCCATTATCAATGTCAGAGATTTTAAGTCTCCCAAAGAATTGGCGGAGCGACTTAAGTTTCTAATGAACAACAAAACTGAGTATAATAAGTTCTTGGAATGGAAAGTAAAAGGCTTAGGTCATATTAACGACACTGTGATTGGAAGATTTTGGGAAAGTAAATTTAGACAATGGTGTTATGTGTGCCAGGGAGTATCGGATGGAAAAGGGCACAAAGAAGGTCTTAAACCTGACTTTTGTAAAACAAGAGAATATGAAGACTGGGGAATTACACCGTTGTGACCTTGGTACACATGACGGACTGGTCGCAAAGATGAATGAAATTATAGAAACAATTTACTGCATGTAAATGATATGTACCGAGTTAGTAAGGAATTAAAACGTTTGATATCTGCATTGTTTTCGATTTTGAGTTTAAGAAAATTGGACAAACAATGTTCTAAACTCGTTTATTTCGTTTAGATGCAATAAGTCGACCAACGCATTTTGTACACTCAGGCCCAGTATTACGAAGGTACCTACAATGCTTTGTAGGAACAATTCCAAAAGTATTTATCTTAGACTTTGAAACCCGTGATGGTTTATTGTTTGTGATATCGTAACTTTTTAGAAATCTGGAGGCACCATTTGAATTTGGTCGTAACGCTTACCAACTTGTATTTGCTCTCTTCTAGTAACAATACTTCCTTCTGTAGTGGTTCAGAGTTCGTTGAAAAAATAAATTTTAGCTCGTCAATTTTATTCATGGTACTTTCAGAAAAACACTAGTAGTCATGAATTTGTAAAGAATATAATTTTAACAATGCACTTAATTATCTCTAAGATGCTTAGAAATGCAAATTTACGCCAAAATTTGTTGTAGTAATTTATCTTGACATTACCATAGATGGGCCACCTGCTTTCTTCACCCATAATAGTTGCTGGCTGGTGCATTTTTGGCCATAAAATTTATTTTAATATTGAATTATAGCTTTTGTTATCACATAATCAAAAAAGATAATAAACTAATTGCTTCCTTTTTTCTCAATCGATGCAAATATTTTAGCTATTTTTCGTTATCTTTAGAACACAGCGTGTGCTACTTTGTATTCAGTTTACTTAGGACTATAACGGACTATTTTCCATTTCATTTCATCGATTTGCACAACAAAATTTTGTAAATACAACTAACGTTGTGTTTGGTGCGCATAACCTTTCTGTTTTTTATTTTATTATGTTGAAATTTAACAGTTGGAGACATTACGCAAGCATAAGCTTCGCAGAAGTTGGCAAACATCAAATATATATCGTTTGAGAGAATACTACACTGTGATGAAACTTGATGCACTGTGCTTGTATTTAAACATTTAAACCAGTGTTGATATGTATGTAGCAAATTGTCATTATGTAACCGTGCTTATCTCACCTATCGTTTATATTATATTTCCTAAATTACGTTTTTACTCTATAGACCATATATTCCTCTCAAAGATATTATTCAACAAGGCATGACATGTGAGATCGTATTTATTGCAAGTGAATACTATTAACTATTCTTTGATACAATAAATTTCACACGGGTAACAACACGGACTAATTAACCTAATGATACGAGATACGAATATACTGGATTCGTAAATTTAATGTGGAGAAATGAAGACATGTGGAGAAGGATTTACGGCAATTTACACGATGTACTTTGGGAAACTATGGAACACTTTAATATTTTGATAATATTACTTTTTGTGTTATATCGCTCAGTACATCATATTGTATTTTTATTTCATAATAAAAAAAAATCGCCCGAAAAGTTCCTGCTATTTGCCTACGAGTCCAAGATTTGGGGTGTATCACCCCTATACCCTTCTACCAGACGTATTGGCCCTGATTGTGCTGTCTGCATTGGATTTTAAAATCCTGCAACAGGACCTTATTGCACTAACTCCATGTTCACACGTATACATATTTTTAAAAATACGGAGATTTTTCCTCCGTTTCTGAACAGATTTGCGACCACACATAGCGTATTTAAATCGTTTCCACCTGTCCACACGTATGCACAAAACCGGAGAAAATTCAATACTTGTAATCTCTTAGCATGTGTATTTACTTGTAATAAGGGATTCTTCAAGCTTTTGCATCATCGAATTTGTTAATTACTCAACGATTTATTATCAAAAACATATAGAATACAAACGAAATACTAAGCTTTAATAGCTTACGACTACATGTTCTCAAATTCAGTCACATGACCATATCAATGACGCATGCGTATTTAAATTAATAACTAATTAATAAACTAGAGACTTTGTCGTGGTGACAAATCTGAAAATCGTTCTAAAGATCGCAAATACCATTGTGAATGGTAAAAGTAATAATTTAATAGTGAAATTAAACGACATAATGCATTTTGGGAGACCACTCCTTAGATGTCAACGTCTGCTAAATGAAAATTTAAAATCTACTGATATTTGTAAAGCCAAGAAATAATGTACGTCATCTCCAAATGGGGAGATGACGCTCAAAACAAGGATAAATTGAAAACATAATCCTTTTGTCGGCAGAGGACGGGATTAGTTAACTTAATCAAAACAGCCTCCATGACGCGTACTTGAAAGAATGAACGGCATTTCTTAACGATTCTAAAATTGTCGTCGGAAGAAGAATCAGCACAATGGGAGTTATTCAAGAGACGTTTACCTATCGCGGAGTCACATTAAACTAAATTATTTTTCTTACAATCACGTTTTGGTTGTTGTCTTGATGGGACCGTTCCATTTCTGATTGAAGTTGGTACATGATGTTTGATCCTATCACCCAACCTTTGAGACGTTCTACTTACACAGCGAACATCGCACACATATTTATATTCATAAATTACACTGTTTAAAAGTTCTGCCGGTAAAGATTCTTTGGGTGGTAGAATACTTCTTTTCAAAAATATAAAGATAACATTGCTTGCAAAAGAAAATTCTCTGCTATATTCTTAGTTTTCCTCTCAATATCATCAGAAACCTTACCCATCCATGGAAGTTTAATAGACACAGGGCACTTAGCTGGTCGAAAAGGCCTATTCTGCTCATTTTTTTTGTAGATGAGAAAAATTTATAAAGCATTTTTTCAGGATATCCATTTGAGAGAAATATATTTCTCAATGAGTTGAGATCACCCTCAATGAACTCCTCTTATGACAGTCTAAGCGTTCGCTTTATTAAAGATTTTAATAAAAAAATCTTTTCTCTGTGTGAAGAAGAAGATCAAAGCATGTGTACAAACCTGTAAAAGTTACCTTGCAATGAATTCTAAGAAGGAATTGGCCATTGCGTGTATGGACAAGAACATCTAAAATTGCCAACTCACAATTTGATTCATGTTCAGACGTATAATACAATACATTACGAAGAGAATGAATCTACAAACGAATCATTAACCCTCGCAAATGTTGTGCAATTCTATTAGCATCTACCGCAGAGATCCCACGAGATACTACACATGCGCAAATTGGTCATTCTCTACGTAGCTCACCGCCATTACAGATGGCGCGTTTGGTCATATACGAATAATCCATAAAATAATTTGCCATCCTGGTGAGTAGAACGACAAAAAAGTTCTAAAAAACAATACAGGACAAAACACCTACATAACCACTGAGTTTGCGCGGCAAACTCTTTTTCTGTGGTTAGACAAAAATTACAAGAGTCTTAATAAAGGGCCTCATTCCGATTTCGCAAATTGCGGGAACGATTAATACCTCTCATGGAACAAACCCTACAACACCTGCACCGACACCAGAGGTTATCTGAGATAGCCTGTGCTAATCTATTGCGCTTCTCGCTTCAGCTAATCATGATCTGAACATGTGCTGCAGAGACTTGTTCAAAGTTGACCTTGATGAAAATTACAAGGCAATCTGTAGTAACAAAGGACCTGTTGCTGCAGAACTGTTTAGTGAGGATTTAAAGGAACGCATGAAAACAGTAAAAGAAAGCAAAAAGGCTTCACAGCAACTGACAAGCCAAAAACGGAAACGCAACGATCAACGGTCGACCATCTCATATAATTCCAATGTACCTTTTTTATTCCAACGTCAGGGCGATCATTTGCAAAGCCAACCCCAACGACAAAACTATTATCAAAACCAACCCAAGAGTAAAGTCGAGACAGGGGGGAAAGCACTAAGAAAGCAGTGACTCCTCCTCTTGACCATGTACGTTATAGTAAACGCAAGCGTAGTACTTCTGTCATATCTGGGGGAGACAATTATTGTAGTATAGTTGCAGGCCGGATACAACAATTTATTGGGAAGTGCAGGGAGTTAAATCACGATCCTTCCATTTTATCAGCTGTAAGCGGATACAAGGTTGATTTTCTTATAGACCCAGTCCAGCTAAAACAACCCACTCTATAAAAATCTTTTCTTCGGAAGTTCAAAATGTTGATCGTCAAGTTACAAAGTTTCTAGAGAAAGGTATCATTGTTACAAGCATGCATGAACAGGGCGAGTTTATCTCCAATATCTCTCTTAGAGCAAAGAAATTTTGATCTTTTAGAATGATATTTAACCTAAAAGAGCTCAACGCATTTGATACATATCACCACTTTAAAATGGAATCTATCCATACTTGTACTCAGCTCATGCGACTTGGTTGCTACATGGCATCCGTTGACCTTAGAGATGCCTATTACTCAATACCAATACACATAGAGCATCAAAAATACTTAAAATTTATGTAGAAAGGTAAAATCTGTACCAATTCACATGCCTTGCTCAAGGATTATCTTCCGTTTATTTAGAAAGATACTCAAGCATGTATATTCTAAGCTGAGGAAGCTTGGGCACATTTCTAGCGGTTACATTGATGACTCTTCTTTAATGGGCTACTCCTAATCAGAATGCGAGCAAAACGTACATGACACTATACAATTGTTTCAGAAGTTAGGATTCGTACCCCATAAAGATAAATCTGTTACAGAACCCACACAGATTTTACAACATTTAGGGTTTATGTTAAATTCAATAGATATGACTATCTCTATATCCATAGAGAAACACAACAATATAGAGACTGCCGGTTCTGGCGCACTTAACCCCCTGGCAGGCTGCATACCCAAATCTAAGCGACCCAGCCCTAGTTCTCTTACACAGTACGAAGTACTGTGTATACATGTGTTCCGACAAAAAATCGCACCGGTCCTGGGGCACTTCGCAGTTTGAGAAGGAGTACACAAATCTAAGCGCCACAGCCCTAGCTCGCTTACGTGGTTCACATACATAATAAGCACACAGTAAGCACATAGGTCGGCACAAAACTCGCACCGGATAATCAAAGACCAAACTCAGGACAACGGCAGGAGCCAACGACGGGCGGCCCATCCCTAGTAAAATTCACTACCATAAATAATCCCTCCTGGCTTTGGCTATGTTCTAAGACGGTTATAGCTTAATCACTTGTGTCCTATGGGATTAAGAGACCCTCACATTAAATGAAATTCACTCTATCTAATCCTTGCGACTCTTAATCTCATAGAACACACGTGATCATGCTCTAACCCTTAACACAGTGTAAGAATATACAGAAGAGTCACTCGTGTCGGAATCTTTGATGATTTTGTCCTCGCGCATGTCGTGCCGCGCATGGTGGCCGCCATAATTCCAGCCGGATGATTAAGGTTTATGACTTTTTCCAAACCTTTAAATTGATCCGAAGTTATTTCTTACGTCAAAACATACTTCAATTCATTACTCAGTATTGACGTCATTTAATTTTAATGGTTGGAAACAAGTGAGAAATTCTAATTATCTGGCTGGAATAATGGCCGACATGAGGACGTGTTGTACACATGAGTGACCCTTCTGTATAATCATTACTCTGTAGCATTGTGCTGTTAGTAGTCACACGAATGTAAACATTGTGAACAGATTTGGCCACTCTGTGCCCAAATCTTTCAATCTTTAGTTGTCAATATAAGAGACCACGTCTTGACCACGTTCAACGCGTTTAAATATGAAAATCATTTTGAATCTCACGATTTCTTTTGCGTTTTAATGTCGTTATGCAAATTAACGATGCATGATGTTGTAGAGTAGGTTAGGATTCAGAAGACCTTAATCAATTTAGAAACTAGACTTTAATTTTTGACCAAATCTTCATACAATCTTGCAGTCATATCTTGATAAGTTAAGGTTCTGAGAATGGTTTATAGGCGTTCTGATTGACGTCACCAACATCTTCAAGCCCAAAGTCAATATTAGCACAGAATAATGACTATACAGAACGGTCACTCAGGTGTTCAACGTGTCCTTACAACGGCCATTATTCCAGCTATTTGATTAGGGTTTGTTACTGGTTTCCAACCATTAAAATTACATGACATCAATACTTAATAATGAATTCGAGCATATTTTGACTTTAGAAATGACTTTGGATCATTTTGAAGGTTGGGAAAAAGTCAAAAACCCTAATCAGCTGGCTGTAATAATGGCGGCTACCATGCACGGCGCAACATGCCAAAGAATAAAAACATCAAAGGTTCCGACACGAGTGACCTTCTGTATATTCTTATTCTGTGATAATATACTGTGAGAATGGTTTAAGGGCGTTCTCATTAACGTCACCAACATCTTCAAGCCAAATTTATAATATTAGCGTTATTTAATAGGCTAAATATGTTTAATTAATAAATAATTGACGTAATATAACAGAAAAATGGTCAATTGTTACTAGCATTTCATATATATTAATGTAGGGAGAGCATAGTTCTTTTGTTTGACAACAATAAGTTTTGTTTTTAAAAATTAGATTTGATAGATACCCAGTAATTTGTTCAAGTACAAACAATGAGTTTTAAACCTCTAGAGGCCGTTGATGCTCACAGGCAACAATCACCAAACGAGATGTGTAAGAACTTTTCAAAAGACGAGGCTCCCAGAGGGTTAAACAATCCTGTTGAACAAATACATATAATGACATGCTTAACACTATTTATATAAATACCATCCACTTCAAGCCACATATAAACCACGAGGCGTCATGGAAAGTAGATGTTGCTCATATGAGATGGAACAAGACTTTGCACATTAACGACAAGTGTAAACATTTGTGATTGTGCATTCAAAATAAAACTGTTGCCTTCAACTCTCCTCGTTGACAAGTTATTTGAAAGCCGCGATGTACAGATATATACTATCAGTATCACATCCTAAACGTTGATAGCAGCAGCAAAAATAAATTTGAGAAAAGAAAACCTCTATGAAATGTGTTACAGACGTAGCTACTTGTTTTGACATCATTTATGAAAATAGATCCTACGGCTGTAAACTACAAATGTAAGTGACTATCTTGTGAAAATCTTAATTTATTGATGCTACTGATTTCTGGTTTGTTTCTTCAATGTCACATAAGCTATAACTGAATATATGCAATGAGTATAAATACACTAACTTTGCTATCTGTCTCCAATGCACTATGCGGTTGAGTGCAGCTTTCATAGATTAAGGTGTAGACTTGCAATGAACGAGAACCGTAATTGTTTTTTTGCTCGTTTTTCTACGACTCTCTACTATATTTTTATTAGTAGAATCTTGGGGAAAACAGAACGCCCTTAAATTCTCTCCTAACATTAACAACATATGACTTCAAGATTTAATGAATATTTGGACAGATTTAAAGTCTAGTTTATAAATTCATTATCGTCTCATGTATCTTACCCTACAACATCATGCATATTTGCTTTGCATAACGACATTAAAACGCCAAAAAATTGTATATTCTAATTAATTTTTTGTTCAAATTCATAGAAGGATTACTTATTGTCTTTGTGAAAGGTGAAAAGCTCCTAAGGGGCCCATTACAAGAAAAAAATTTCGTCATGACGTGGTTAAACAAATGTTAACAACGGAAACTTAATCACTTTAACGTTGTAGAAAGAAAGGGGAATTCTGTCTTTTTCCTGACGAATTACTGAAGTATAAGTTGCATGGAATAATCAACTAGTCTTAATGGTAGGCCTCGTAATATGAAAGCTTTCAATGTAAAATGCTTTTATAACGATGTAAAGCCTTCGATCTTTTGAAACTTGTTGCATCTTTCAAACTTAACCGACTAAAGCTATTCGTGCAATGTTGATGAATGTTCTACCATTTGGATAGTCAAACAGAAAACAGAAAACAATTTGCTCATTCTCAATATACCTGATTAAGAATTGAAAAACGCAAAGTAACGTCATATATAGAGTTCTTCATCATGAGATGTCGTACACGAGTTTCATATTTTCTAGCTTATATTTTTAAACCCACATGGATGGAGTTGTGAAAATCCCTTTACCACCTGTGTCATTCACTTCAATTACTCTTACTAGTTTGTCATTACTCATGTGTCATGGTGATTCATGGCCAAAAATGTTCATTTGTAGTTTGGATTCTTTGTGGATGTCAATTGTTTGTTCATATAATGATGATGGGCCCCATTGTTATATGAGCCAACCTGAAGTTGGTCAGCTGTCATTCATAGAAGATCAAATCTACATTAAGCATTCTTTAAGTGATGATATAACTGGGGTATTGAAGTGATCCCTTTTCCTTCACTTGAAGATACCATAAGAGTGCATTGTAAGCAGTAATCTATCGAAATGGCGATTCATAATACCAGTAGCCTCTTTATTGGTTACGTCGATTACTTTGTTCAGTTCATGGAATGGTATAAACGTAATGAATGGACATTGCATAAAGGCATTTGTACGTGTGAACATTAACGTTGAAATGATTGGACTATAATCTACGAAGATGGAAAACAAGCGAGTGGAAAAACATGATCTATGTCTTGTGGTTTGTAAGTTGAGTAGATAAGTGTTAAAATTAACTTATAGCTATGAGTGACTGCATGAGATATTCAAAAATGATCGTGATGGTCTATTTTTATAATTTGAACTATAATCATGAAAAACACCTATATTAGTTAAAAAAAAGTCAATAAAAGATGTCAATTGTTGTGAGAAAATAGCTGGCTTTCAGTCGCTAATTTTACTAATTTTATTAAACGTTTATAAACAAAATTGCAATGCTGCAAGTAGGGTTCATTGAATTTTTAAGATAAAATTGTTACATTAAAATTTCTACGATATACACGTAAAAACTGCGCTGTGAAAAAAGTGAAAGAGACCTACTAAGACGCCTGGATCAGACGGACCAGGACATTTGCTTGAAAATCAGGTATTAAAGTTTTGTTCTTTTTTAAAATATATAATTTCTGATTTTATTCATTCATGCTGACATTTATAATGTGTTTTTTTATAGTGTAGCTATGCCTGTAGGCCTAATAACTACACATTGAATGAACAATCAAGTTAGACAGAAGCACAAAGAAACAAGCGTCCTTATTGAAAGATTCTCACTTGCGACTTTCGTTATGCATACTATTAATCAGTATAACGCATTTTTAAATTCAACCGTTAAAAATTTCCGTAAAACTAAATTTTCACAATTGTCAAATTTTCGGACAAAACACACGAGCGAAAGCCAGCTATTAATGAAGGTCTTAATAAAGCAACATAATTTTGATCAAATGAAATCTAGTAGACATCAAAATAATTTGTATGCAAGTCACGACGTCACTTTGGTCATTTCATTTTTCATTGTTATTGGTAGGTGAATGATCAGGTCGAACGTACTGAATGAATTTTTCATATGATTTATGTATGAGCTGCTATTAGTTTTATTTTTCGTCTGTTCATTAAAAATTTTGTTAACACTCTGCGCTCTTTCATTTTTTGTTCTCTACTAAAGTTTTCGTTTCTTTTGTTCAAACACAAAATATTTGCGGTGTCAATAAATAGGGTAGTCAGCCGACTTTTTTGTCGCCGCTTTTTTTGTCGCTTTGTGAATTTAAGATACGAACGACGAAGGTACGATCTGACTACGCTGCATGTTAAAGTAGATCATCGGGATCATTGAAAACAACAAAAATATGAAACATCTTAAAATAACAAAAATTTAAGGAAGTTTTTCTAAATTTTGATCTTTTATTTTATTGGAGGGTTTTTTACCGGATCCACCTGTTTTCCCTCCCATTTCGTTTTGTTTTGTAAAAAAAACAGTGTCCATATTTAGGGCCAAGCAAAGTCATTTATTATAACATTATTTATTATAGCTATCATTAATATTCACGTTTATTTTTTATTCCTTGGCCTTTGGGTATATTTCCCAAAACACTGCGTTTAATAAATATAATGGCATACATTTTGAAAAATAATATGTACGCAAGTTTTCTGCTCAGTCAGATATTCTAAGACAAATTTTTTCAATCTTCTGCATCAACAGACTCAGCGAGAAAATAAAGATGATTTTATACAGTATAGAAGTGTGATTTGCGTACATAATAAAAATTCCATTATCCTTTCACTTCACTAAGGAGTCTTTTTACATAAAATATTGCTTTAAACATGAGCAATGTGACGAATTTTTACATTACTCACGGTAATACGCTTAGCACAATAATATTAGTACACACCATTCGACAATTTACTCCCCTACCATGAAGTGAGATGTTTTATGCCTATACCAAATGCATTCCCAATGATATAGAGAGAAATGATAACACCAAAGATACAGAGATTAATCTTTATAGTAGATTGTTTGAGATTGAGATTTTTTAACTACAATGTTCTTCTCAGCGTCACTGCACAACTGAGACTAGCATTATCTTAATGACTATTTTCACTGCATTCTTTACTGTTGTATCGACAGTGTTCTTTCTCATAGCTAAGTAATTATAAATTCATAAGTTACTATGGTTTATTTAATAACAAACGTTTTTTATAATATTAAGTGACTTCTGCAGTAATATACATGTATGGAATTTTTGATTAATAAAGTAAAAAATCCGTTTACAGCTTCCAAAATCGTGTCATAACCATTGACATTTAAATCTTGCCTTAGATCAGTGATCATCTATTCCTGAGTTAAAACTTGTGAAACTTTATACGATTTAGCAGTAGTCCTTTAGAATTTGACTAATCTCAATGTTATTTTGTACTCTGCATGAGGTTCGTAATTATGTATTTTTGTTTCTATAATTGTTTTTAGTCAGTGATGTATACTTGGTTATATAACTAGAATGTTCTACATAGATGTTATTAATGTTTTATAATACTGTTTGTTGAAGGAAATCCTGACTCGCTCTTCACCTTCGTTCGCTATTTAAAAGTGTTTATGTAACAAAACTTACATGGATAAAAGATTGATGTAACAGTAAGGTATGAATTATGATCATCATTTTTTAAACTGATATCTAAGTGGTCGCGTTCTTTATATTAAATCTCTCGTCTTTGTAAGGTATGCGAAATGTAAAGAACTAAAGCAAGCATGATATTTTTTACACGGTCGTCATATATGAAGTCTTACTGCTAAAACGAAGGTAATTTTTCGAAAGTAAAGCGAGATTCTGATACTATATTACTAACTTTACATAACAAATTTGCTACTGAAGCATCTTGATAATGTATGACCAAACATTCAAGAGAAATTATATTTAAGTTGATATACCAACTTTCTAACTGTTGACAATAAGCTGCATGGTAAAGGACAGTGAAACCTGTTGAAAAATATGGGGGAGGCAGAATAACATGAGAACGTTTTCTACATGTAGGACGCTGAATTTTTCTTTAAAAACTATACTTGTCGATACGAAATGGGGATCTGTAAAATTTATTTAGGGAGGGCACATGTCCAATCATGCATCACCTCCTTCTTTGCTGACGCCACTTTTGACTAACCTCTGTGTGTCCAGCAAAATGTTGTTAATTGTATTGAGCAAATTATTCATTTTAAAAGTAAGAACATTTGTAAAATAAGCAAATGTTACACACACGAAGAATGTATTTACACAGCAGTCTTAAGGTTTACTTTTATTGCATCCTTTACTGTTGTACCTACAGTGTCCTTATTGATCATAAGTAATTGTAATTGCGTGCAGTTGATGTTTGCCGTACATTCATAATTTACAATGGTTTATTCAATAAAAAAGGTTTTTTATAATGAGAACTGACTTATGCAAGAATATACATCTGTGAAGTTTTTGATTAATGAAGGGAAAAATCCATTCACAGTTTTGAAATTCGTGTCGTAATCATTGGCATTCAAATCCTGTTTTAGATAGGTGATTCTCTATTCCTGAGTTAAAACTTGTGAAACTTTATAAGATTTAGCAGTAGTCCTTTGCAATTTGACTAATCTCAATGTTATAATGTATTCTGCATGAGGTTTTTATTTATATATTTTTATTTCAATAACAATTGTTTTTAGTCAGTGATGTATACTTAGTTATATAACTAGAATGTTCTACATAGATATCATTAATGTTTTATAATACTGTTTTTTGAGGGAGAACCTGACTCACTCTTCTTCTTTGTTCGTTATTGAAATGTGTTTATGTAACAAAACTTACATGGATAAAAAATTGATGTTACAATAAGATTCGAACTATGATTACCATTTTTAAAATGATATGTATGTGGTCGCGTTTTTTTTATTAAATCTCTTATTTTTTGTTAGGTTTGTGAAATGTAAAGAACTAAAAGAAGCATAATTTTGTCCACAAGGTCGTCATATATGAAGTCTTATTTCTAAAACAAAGGTAATTTTACAAAAAGTAAATCGAAATTTTATATCTATATTACCGACTTAACAACTTAGCTAAAGAAACATCTAGATGAAGTATGAATAACCATGCATGAGAAATCATATCAATATTGATATACCAATTTTATAATTATTAACAATAAGCTGGATGTTAAAGGAACGGTAAAACCTTTTCAAAAGTATGGGAAAAAGCAGAATAACTTAAGAATATTTTCTATATATGATGCTGCCTTTTTCTTTATAAACTGTAAATGACACTAGTGCCAGTCCCGAAGAATCGAAACAATATTGTTGTTAATGTAAACTTAGGAATGCGTAATCTAGTAGTACTTCTAACTCTTTATCGAAAATATACGAATCATTGCGATCTGGATATAAACGGGAACAATCGGTAATGATACTTTACTTATATTCTGTTGTTTTGTTTGTTGTTTGTTCATTTCCTTTCTAATTTTGAGTACATTTTCTGTATGTATCTAGTTGACATCTACTATCAATAATACCAAACGTTGCGTGCGGGTGCCAGAACTTTTATGCTACGGGAGTTATACAAACTATACTTGTCTCTAGAAAAATGGGAATACGTGAAAGTTTATGTAGAGGGAGAGGAAGATGTCCAATTATGCATCACCTCCCTTCTTTGCCGACGCCACTTTTGACTAAACTCTGTGTGTCTTGAAAAAGGTTGATAATTGTATTGAACAAACCATTTATTTTGAAAGTAAGGAAATTAGTAAAATAAGCAAATGTTAAACTGAAGAAGAATGTATTTACACAGAGGAAGAACGCGACTGAATCTATTTTTTGTAAAATGTTGATTCGTACAACAAAGTGAGCTGTCACAATTTTGCTTATGATCATGTTTGTTTAACAGTTTTAATGTTTACTTCGATTATGTCGAAAATACATTTTCTGTATGTATCTAGTTGACATCTACTATCAATAATACCAAATGTTGCGTGTGGGTGCCAGAACGTTTATACTGTTGGAGTTCTACAAACTATACTTGTCTATAGAAAAAATTGGAATACGTGAAAATTTATGTAGAGGGGGACATGTCCAATTCGAAAATTAAACGAGACTTACCTGAAATTGAAATTTAATTGAACTTCTATGATTTACTGTTCAGGAACTAGGAAGTCATGTGAGATAGAGCGCGCGATAGTTTTCACTCATTGCACTCATTGCTTCACTCATCTTACAAAGGGCGGTTGCCACTTTCAAATTCTTTGATGTGACTTGCACTTCTTCGCTTTCTTCCATCATATCATCTTGTTTATCGTGTTCAGCAAATTCCAGGAGTGCTGCTTCATCTCCGACATCATCTCTTCACTTGTAGAAGCCATAATTCAAGAAATTTGTAATATAATATGGAAAGGAACTTTTTGTAACTGGTCGCTGTGAAATCTACGTTCGAACTGATCTTGATATCGCGCGCTCTATCTCACATGACTTCCTAGTGACGTAGAACAGTGACGAAATAGAATTATAGATTTATAGTGCCATTGTCGCACAACCTAAGTGTTCTGTTGTGCGAGATACTAAATCACGATTCTTTAAAAGACAAACGTTGGTTCATTACCACGAATATTAATATCAAAAAATGCTTATCCAATTCGTCTCTTCAAGACTTCAACTCAATGCGTTACAATGCATTAATCAAATGCGTCGATAAAATGCGACCATCAAAAATGCGTATTGAAACAACCAGAAACAGCGTTTGCAGCCTCTATATATACTAAACATTCAGCAAGATAAAATTACAAAGTTTCCTCTTTGCCACGATTGGAAAGAAGGTCTTCCTCAGCAACTCAATGCTTTAAACTTCCCATGACAAATGCATGTGCGTAATTTAACGTAAATAGTTCCCATTTTACAATGCTCTTACTTCTTTAGTAATGTTCGTGCTTACAGAAAGAGAAAGATACTTCACTTGTTTTGATTATTTATGAAAATTTTTTCCCGTATACTATTTTATACTGATAAGTTTTACATCGTCCATATTATTGTTGATAAATTGATAAAATTTACGACAAACAAGGTTACATTGCAAGAAAAACTGTCTGTTGCTCATTTCTTTTGCTGTTTTTCAGTTTTTTCAATTTTTATGAGCACAAAACGGTTAAAGCCACAAAGAATTTTACATAATTTATGTATTTTTTTAATGATTCTTTAATTTGTATGAAAACGACTGACTCAAGTAGTACCAACTATTGTCTGACTATAGCTGCTGATCTTTGGTTTGGAAACTCAAACTTTGACGAAAATGGCCATTTGGATACATTTTGGCCTATTTTCTATTCTAATAATTTTTCGGAATCATATTGGCAACTTATTTTAAAAGTGTGTGTCAAAAACATAAATCTGGTGAGAAGCATCTATGAACAATGAACATGATCGTTAACTACTTTTCAGCTGTATCCAGTAACACAGAAAGTGAATCAGAATGATCTCGTGTTGAGCCCATCCTTTACATTTGAATACACAGTCTACATTACAATACAACGAAAGACATAAATTAAGAAATATTTCATTATAAAACTGTGAATTTACGTTGTGGAACGAAGAAATAAGTGTCGAAATATAGAAATAGTCGTTTTGTGTCATATTTGGTGAGTAAAATTTTACAAAATATATATTTTAAAACATTATTGTTTAGCTACTAGTTATATTGCATCACAGATTTTACCAACGTTTTATATTTGAACTTTGATGCAAGTTTTTCAGTTGGCCGATTTATTTAATTTTAAAGTTTTGTAACCTATTTTTTCCATTATTTTTCTTCGTTTTTAGTTTGAAGTTCAAACAAAGGCTTCACGATTAAAACCAAACATTCTTCATTAAAGTAAGTTAAAGTTTTTACATCATTATATTTTAAACAAATTTCTTGTTTGAAAATGGCTTCACCACCTCAAAAACTGAAGATTGAAGCAAACGGATCTCGTTTAAGTAAACTCTTGATAAGTAAAGGAACACAAGCTTTGAAAACAACATTGCAGTTTAATTTAAATTTTCGCTCGTCAAAACTAAGCGATGAACTTAATAAACCCTCAAATAAAAGTACATTGGAATCATTAAGAAAAAGAAGCGTCATCAACAAAGAGCAATGGGACCTTCTTTACCCATCAACTGGTTTGCCAAAACTTGAAAACTTTGATATTTCATTAATGACTGTCTTATTGCGTAACATATGTGGTCTAACAGCGCCACATGGTGGATGGGATAATCTTCCTTTCTCTTCAGATACTTCAATTTCAGCAAATATTGCAAGAATAAAGTTTTATCGAAACGAAGTGTACGGTCACATAACTACAACTAGTGTAGATGACAGTGAGTTTGAGTACTTGTGGCAGCAAATTTCAAAAGCATTGGTTGGTTTGGGTATTCAACAAACTGAAATAGATGAATTAAAGAAAGCTACACTCAGTCCTGATGAAGTTAATTATACTGCAATGCTAAAAGAATGGCATAAAAGAGAAGAGCAGTTAATCGATGTCACTGAAGAAATCAAAGAAGATGTAAAAGTAATAAAAAGAAATGTTGTAGAGATCAAACAAGAGATAGCAACAAAAGTTACGAACATAAATGAGGATGTAGCAAGAGTAAAAAAAATGATACAGGGCAAAACATATTCAGTTGTCGAAAAGCTTGGAAAGTGTAATTTTAACGGTCTTATAAAAGATCTTAACAAGAAATACCTTGAAGGCACTAGACAATGGTTATTTGAAAAACTCGACACTTGGTTTAACAATAGAAGTGAAGATGCTTCTAACGTCATGATTTTGATTGCCGGTCCTGGTGTTGGTAAAAGTGTGTTTGCTGCTGAGGTGTGTCGACGATATTCTGGAAAGAAGAAACTTGCTGCTTGTCATTTCTGCAGATATAATAGATCAGATTATAGAAATCCTCGATTTTGATAGAATCATTGGCTAGTGCCATGTGTGATACAATATCAGATTTTAAAAGTAAACTGAATGAAGAATTACAGAGAAACCATTCCAAAGAATCGATCACCGATAAATTCCTTGTTTTATTATATAATCCATTGCATTCATTGGAAGATCATGAACCAATGCTTTTGGTTATTGATGCCTTAGATGAAAGTCAAGTTGACGGCAAAAGTGAATTGTTGGAATTGATTGCAGAAGAGTTTGGCCGACTGCCTAAATGGATTAAAATCTTCATCACCAGTCGTCCAGAACTTCCTGTTCAAAAAGAATTGAAAGACATGAATCCTGTGGAAATTACAACTCGTCCTCGTGATGAAAACAACGAAGAAGACCTGCACAAGTATTTGAGACATCAGTTGAATGATCGTGTGCAGAAAAATCGCTACCTTCTTCGGTCATTAGTTAAAAAATGTGAGGGATCATTTCTTTACGCTTATCACGCACAACTGAGCTTAAAGAAAGAAGAACTTGAGCTTACAGACGAGAAAATTGAAAAATTGGTCCCTAGTGGGTTAAGCGGTGTTTACACAAAGCAATTCAAAAGAGTAAAAGAATTGTTCACGAAGAAAAGAACCAGAAACTCTGTTATCGCAGAAACTACTTTCATGCAATTTCTTGAATTGTTGGCTGCCTGTCGGGAGTTTTTACCATTAACTTTACTGTTTAGCTATATAGGTTTTTCTGGTGACATCAAGTTTGAAGTCCGCAGTAAAATCATTGAACTGTCATCTCAAATTTTGCCAGTTTACGATGATTGCTTAACCGTGTATCACAAATCTTTAAGTGATTGGTTGAAATCAGATGGTTACGAACAGCATGAGTTTACAGTTAATCCAAAAAATGGTCATAAGTTCTTATGGCATGCTTGTGTGAAAGTGTTTGAACAAATGAAGTGTATGAACATTTCAGAAGATCAGATGAACACTGCTATGATTAAATATGCTTTGAAGAATGGAGTCCACCATATGATTGAATGTGGCGAAAAGGTTGACTTTAGTTGGGCAGAATTTGTCAAAGAGGTTGGTGCGAGGTTAAAGGGTGTGGAAGACAATGACATGCATACCATTAGGTCTGAATTACCATTAGGTATGGTTTTTCCACTTTTAACGCTATGTACTAAACTTTATGGTTTTACTGTATGTGTTTACTGAATATACTCTAAAGTAGTATATTCAAAATGTTTCATCACACCAACAAATTTTCTTCTCGAAAATTGTTATACATTTATAGAGACTATATACTACATCTTTCAAAATACCTTTGTTTTCTAAACATTTTCACTGCACCATATGTATAGTACATCTTTCAAAGTATCTTTGTTTTCTAAACTTTTTCACTGGACCATATGTATAGTACATCTTTCAAAATACCTTTGTTTTCTAAACTTTTTCACTGCACCGTATGTATAGTACATTTTTCAAAATACCTTTGTTTTCTAAACTTTTTCACTACACCATATCGAAAGTGAGATTTTTAATTCAGGTGGTTCTAAACCAGCAGCACCAACACAGTCCCGTGTATCTGAAACACACCCTATGGTCACTCCTTCTCAATCAACATCCTCCAGAGTCCCTAGTGAACCTACTAACAATGACCCTAAGCAACCTCCTGCTTTACCAATACATACTCCAAGAACGCGGCCAGTTCTTTCAAGAACACCTCCAGATCTTTCAAGAACACCCCTAGTTTCTCCAAGAACACCTCCAGATCCTACAAAACACCCTATTTCTTCCAGAAATACCTCCAGATCCTTCAAGAACACCCCTAGTTCCTCCAAGAACACCTCCACATCCTAGAAAAACACCCCCAGATCCTACAAAAACACCTCTAGTTCTTCCAAGAACACCCTCAGATCCTTCAAGGACACCAACAGTTCCTCCAAGAGCACCCTCAGATCCTTCAAGAACACGAACAGTTCCTCCAAGAACACAACCGGTTTCTCCAATGCCACCCCAGCGTGAGAATGATAGTAAACTTGAAGAGACATTAAAAGGACTTACTTTAAAGAGAGATCAGTATAAATTAGCTGCTCGCAATTGTAACAGAAGTGGTGACAAAGAAAATGCAAAAAAATATTTGATTATATAGAAGGTGAGTTATTTCTAAAGGAACGGACATGAAATTTAAGTGGAAGCATTGTCTTGCATTCTCCACAAGTCTTTTTATGGTGTTCTACAAATACGCGAAATTGATTCCTAATCCTAATCCCTAAGCCTAATCCTTAAACTTATTGTTGTAGATTAAATCAAAGCTCTATTTGTTGAATAAGTGATTGGTTAAAACTTTTGTTTAGGACTTCGATGTTGTCATTCAAGCTGTAAAGGATAGAAAAGATGTTGATCTCATGCAATGCCCTCCCCTCCCCTGGATTTCCAGGTAAAGAATGATAACCGGGGTTGATATACAAGCTCAAAGTTCTGTTAGCTAAATATGAGTTGATGTAAAACTTTCAACGCAATTTTTTACCATAAAATTTAAATTTCATTTCATCTACTATGTCGAGCGAAGGACCGATCAGTTACGTAAAATTTAAGTGGTCAGCCGGTTACGTCAACAAAACCCAAAGCTCCTTAAGTATATTGTCCCCAGACCTCTTCCACGCTCTTCTAGTGTCTGATGCCTATACCTCTTTCCTTAATTATCTTCCCTTATTTAAAAAAATCGTTACTGGTCAACCATTATTCAACATTTCTTCATAGGATATAATTTGAAAAGCCAATTTCTTGATGAACATTACAACATTAAAAAAGACGTACATGAAAAATTCAAAAGGTATGTTTAGGAAAACAAAATTCTTTGTGTCATCGTCTGTGTTAGCTGTAAGATAGGACAAATGGGTATATGAATAGATAACAATGGTTTATAGATACTTATAGGCACATTGTTTTAATTTAGATTTTTATCCTATTTCTGATTCTTTTTTAAAGCATATCTTGGATATGTGGCAACTATGGAACAGTTAGAAAAAACAAAGTTATACCATATCCTCATTTGTATATCACAGTTGATGGTATTAAAGGAAGGTCCAATGAAGATTTAAAGAAAGAAATTGACAAGATATTTGAATGGGAAGCATCAAAATTCATTGAAATCAGGCGTAAACCTTACAAAAAACCAAAGATTCGATATTTATCAAACTTCCGCGCTGTTCAAAATGATGATGCACCAAATCCAATGCAAAGCCCTAATGATGTTGTTTTGGAAAACCAATCAACCAGTAGCTCTCATGGTACAATGACAATGTTCTGTGGCAAAAACAATAAGTATTACGCCTTGACATGCGCACATGTTGCTTATGGCGCAAGTGACATGGTGGACAGTGCATTGGCTTTTAACCAGGAAAATGCCTTTTTGGCCTTTCGCGGTGCCGTTCAATACCTTAATGAAGGTACAGCTTATTTTTACAAACTACCAAACAGTGGTAATGAATTTCTACTTCCCTCTTTTCCTAATGGCGTGTTTGGTCATTTTGACGGAGAAGTTGATATTGTGAGAATTTTCATCGGTGATGAACGTTTTTCATTTTATGGAGGAGATGACATGGAATGTTTTGCCTTGACTTTAGATAAGGCAAGTAAAGAACTTTACGAAAGAATCGAAGATGGAGATGAATCTGTGAGAGTTCGTACAGATTATCATAACATTGGATTTATAAGTGAGCGAAGTTTTCTCACTTGACAAGGCCTTCAAATGAAATCGAGAGAGAAATCATTTTCAAAATGCAGTGAAGGTCAGAAGTAATTGCCAATTCTAAAAAGGTGACTCTGGTGCACTTGTTTATTTCTTGGATAGACAAAGAAAATGGCAGCCATTTGCATATGGTGTATGTGAAATAGATGATGATGATGATGTCGATGATGGTGAGAGTAGTTCTGTTGGTGTTGGTAATATTGATGATGATGATGGTGGTGATGGTGGTAATGTTGATGATGATGATTATGGAGTTGATGATGGTGGTGATGATGGTGGTGATGATGGTGGTGGTGGCGGTAATATTGATGATGGTGATGATGGTAATTTTGATGGTGATGGTTATGGTGATGATGATGGTGGTGATGATGATGGTGGTAATGATGATGGTGGTGGTGATAATGGTGGTTTTGATAGTGATATTGAAGGTGATGGTGGGGGTGATGGTGGGGGTGATGGTGATAATGTGATATTTGAAGGTCCACGTATGAGGACCTTCATATGTTTGAAATTAGATAAAGCTTTAACTGCTGTTAAATTGAACAATTGTGAATACTTCAGATCAGAGGTCTAAAAAGCAATCCAATGTAATCGGAACAAGACCAAACGATAGCACAAGCTTCTACTAACATTGACAAGAAATAATGAGACATAAGATTGTTTCTGAATGTTTTCTAATTGGATCCGCTGGTGGACAAAATATCTTTTCTTCATGAATAATCATTTGCTATTTTTTATTATTATTTATTTCGAATACTTATTTACCTTTTCTAATGTAGCTGCACGCGTATGCGCAAATGTCCTAATCATAATTTATACCGATAATATATATGTAAACGCTTATTGAGACATCTTGTCAGTCAAACAAAGTCGATCTTAACTCAAAGAAGCATTGCAAATAAAGAAGGTTGATAAACTTACTAAGTTTAAGAAAAATATTGAAATCAGTACCTGGATTGTTTTACAAATGTATGCCATTTTTGTAAAAACAATCCACTATAACGAAAAGTTTTGAAATCGTAAAACGAACATGTTTGGACGGAGCCCATACAATAAAAGAGGAATCATATATTCATGTTACCCCTAAAAAAGGTATTGATTTCAACGGAGCTAAATGCGGCAAAACTTGCATAGAGCTGAATGACTTCTAAAAATGTGCATAGAATGCAATATTGTATACATCTTGAACGCTTTTTCAAAAAAGATTGTTTCTGAGATGATAGTTATTGATCGATGCAATTGACGTCATATTATTTCGGTCAGGTTTTCATTAATGTTTCCTTCATCACAAACGTCAACTGAAAACGTCATTGTTGAATTGCAATAATCTTCATATTTTGAGCAAAAATTCTTTATCGCCCACCTAGCTATTTCATTTGACAGCATTTAGTCAATAACCAGATCTTTTTCTTTCCAAACATGCCCTTTTTCCCAACTTTTACGCGTCCAGCAGCGATAGGCTCGTCTCGGAGGTGTTTTCTTCTTTAAGTTTGAAGGCTGCTTTATCTTCATGGAAAATAACGAGTTTACGTAAGAATTATTTGTGGTGGTGACAAAACACAGTAGAATTGCTTGATATTATTAGTGTAAGACACTGGATTCGGTCACAACGCAGGTCAGCGGTAATTTTCTGCAAACGTCATACATGTTTCCAACCCTCAATGTTAAACAACTTAAATTTTCTGTCAAAATTATGGAATACCCAGAGTTTTGGTGATTTATGCGGTAATAAGCTCTTGTTTTCAATTTGGTTTGCATAACTTCGAAAATTGAAATCTTTTGGAAAGATCTTACATTTTGTCAAAATATTTACTTTTAAGCCGATTTGTGAGACTGACTTAATTAATTTTGTCAGACAATGAGTTCAACTGCTGAGCCGATATCTTAATGAGAAATTCCGCTATTCTTTTTGTCCTACACATTTTGAATGATTGTTCTTGGTGGAAGTTGCGTTGCTAAGTTAGCAACAGATATCGTATATCCTAAAAATTATGTTGTAACACCATCTCTCAAATGTAGACCAATAACCAAATAAATATTTAAAATTGGCTTTACTACATGTTAACATTGTGCTTACGTTCTGAAAATTTGGTACTGAAATGGTCTCTCCTGGTGTCGTCATACTCAGTTGTTATTGCTTGCAAAGCTGTCGGCCCTAGAGCGTTAATTGCTTGGGAGGGAGGGAGGGTTCATACTCTCAGTTGTGTCCTTCTGATTTCATTTTGAAAATTTTTAACTCAAGAGAAATCTATGTGCGAACTTTTTTAAAAGAAAGCAGTCCTGCTCTGGTTGCACCACTGAATATATAAGTAAACACACAAACAAAAAAAAACGTACAAAACCAAACCAAAAAACAAACAAAGGCAACACAAATAACGCTCTAGTTACGGCCCTCTTTGTTTGTATCTTTCACAGTCCCATTATCGTCCAGGGAAAATGATATTAGTTGATGATTACTTAAATTAAGTTACGTCATTATGTTTATAGGATGTTTAGAATTTTGTAAGATTATCGTAACTATGTTTTAAGAGAACTTATCAAACAAATTACCTAAAAACTCTAGAAGAACTCTGTAAAGAAATTATTCTGTAACCATAAATGCAACTTACTGTATTGAAAAATACCTATTGTATTGCATGGATTAAAATTTAGTCAATGCTAAAAACAACTATTAGAAATAAGAGTCCTTTGGAACTGATCACTCTCTCAGAGGTAACTTCCATTTGAGGCAACTAATTTGGAAATCGAAATATTTTGGGTGGCTTCTTGCGAAACTCTTCTGCAATTCATAAAAGCGCTTCTTTCCTCTCGGGCCCAGGCCACTTATTTTGAAACGCATCCTTGCATCACAAAGAAAATGCCAATAATGTACCATCACACGAATCATTTGACAACAAGGTAGTTGGTGAACGCGTTATTATCAAAGCATTTACCTAGGACACACAAATAGGATCAATCTCTGACAGTTTGAGGATAAAAATAAGGTGTTCTACATCTCATAGGATACGTAAATAAGCCTGTTGTTCTTCGTTATGTGTGTATAGCGATCAAATAAGATTAACCTTTGTATGTATGTCATAAAGTCAAATTTCATGCTTAGTGCATGACTTGTCTTTAGAAATTTTAATGCCATACTGAAATGTGTAAATTTTAATCCTTTTCAGTAAGTTTCAAATAAAAAACTATTATTCTCGCAGTCAGGAACACAGTTACATAGCATGGGTAAATAGAACACCAGATCAGCAATAGTTTGTTAAAATATACGTCAAATGACGGTTAATTTTGACGGTTCTGGTTTCGAATGGGTTGAGTACATTTTGAATAGTCTGGTGCAAGGATATCGCTACGCTCTATTTTATTGGTTGAAAAATGCGAGGATTCGTTTCTGTACGCTTACCACGCACAAGAGAGTTTAAAAAAAGCAAAAACTGAGATAACTGTTGAGAATATTATACAATTGGTTCCTACTGGGTTGAGTAAATTTTACACAAAACAATTCAAAAGATTAAATAAATCATTGAAGGAATAATTTTATAATATTATTTTTTCCAATTTAAGATGATTGTTTGACCGTGTATCACAAGTCTCTCTTTGATTGGTTAAAATCAAATGGTTATGAAGAGCATGAGTTTACAGACGATCCAAAAATTAAACATAAGTTCTTATGGCATGCTTGTGAGAAAGTTTATAATCACATCAAGTCGATGAACATTTTTGAAGATCAGATGAACGCTGCTATGATTGAATATGCTTTGGAGAATGGAATGTATCATATGTCAAATTGTGGCGAGAATGTTGAATTTAGCTGGGCAGTAGATGTCAAAGTGGTTTAAGCAAGGTTAATGGCTGTAGGATTTACTGGCATTTGATACATTCGGAACAATTGTTTTGAAATCATTAAGGAACGACAAACTTTCTTAAAAAAAAATGTACTTTAGGAACTACTATTTCATTTGCGCATGCTCAATTTTTCTCTTTTTTACGATGATTTTTATCTACTTTATTTACAAAATAATGCAAATAGAATTCATGGCAGTAAGGAAAAAAGATTATTGGCAAGGGATTTATTAAAACAAGGAAAGCTTGTTTGGTTTGAGGACTTCGACTCAACATATTTAACAAACCATCATCATTTGACTGTCTCCTTGCGTGCTAACGTTACATCTATTTGTGTGTCGTCCAATGAAGAACTTCTTGCTGTAGGGTATGAAAATGGTCAAATATCAATTTTTGAACTTCCAGAATTCGAGCTACGATGCACTCTAGGCACTGCACTCGATGTTTCAAGGTTGGATAAGTGGGATGATGTAGACACATTTATGTCTCCGTATGACATCTCTGACTATCCAAGAGTAAAGAACTTTGGTTTTTTACGTGGAAACATCTGTTGTTGCTCCTTTTAACCTATCGGAAAAAGACTGGTAACCAGTGATGGAACTACTGAAGTAAAGTTGTGGGACGTTAACAATGGACGTTTGTCATTATGTTTACAGTCAGATGATGTCGTTAATCGTTTCTCTTTCCCAGATTCTGGTTTGTTTATTACAGCAAGATAATATGGAATTTCTTCTAAAGATGTGTTCACTGCATGGAATTCATTAACTTTGCAAAGAATCGATCGACGCTGCGTTGTTGATTACCAAAAACTACATGCACCGATAAATATTCAGAGTTCTTTGTAGCAGAATTCGTCAAGACTTCGTATGTTTTTCAATTCCCAAAAGCAATCGATGTTTTTTCCAGTAAAAAGAAATATTCACTACATTTACATTTAATGATAACACATCATTATCGTGATTGCATTTTTTATCATACAAGCCAGAATGGAAAGTCTTCTGAAGTCACTCATTTGACAAAATACAACGATCAAGGAGAAATCGAGTTCTGTTTACCACATGTTAGGTGTCCATGTTTTTGGACGAATCTTAACAAAATCCATCCAATCTGGTTTAAGAAATTTTACGTTGTGCCGTATTTTTTCAAGCTTAAAATTTTCAAAATTGATCACCTTTGGAGACCTTCATTTAGCTTTTAGGTATTTGAAATTAAATGTTGTTGTTTTTCACCGGATGGATATTTTTTTGCTGTTTTTGCTGTTGGTGAGAACGTCAACATTCATATTTGGAGCATTGAATGTTGCACTATTTTTCAAACTGTACCATAGAAACTGAAGAATGAATTTGGGTGTTGGTGGTCAGATGGTTTACTGTGGATATGGGATAGTTCTGATCATCTTATGAAGATATCAACTTCGTCTGAAAATTTTGTAGATTCCACACAGACGAAGCAGATAAACATTGGATCGAAAAAAATCTTAACATTTGGTGATGTTTTTGTTTGTATTAACAAAGAAAAGTTTGTTCAAGTTGTTAGAATTACCAAGGGTGAGATTCAATACAACAAAAGACTTCCTGTCTATATTTCAAAAATTAAAGCAGCAGCTGTATCACCTGATAATTCTGTTATTTTAACTATAAACAAAACAGACTACACATTATGGAAATGGGAAAATAACAACAATGAACTTTACTTAAAATCTTGGCATACTGCAGAAATACTCATAACAGCTGTCAT